ATAGCACCACCAAGAGAAATAAATTAGGTAAATGCAGGCTTCACTTTTTTCCTATAGTTCATAAAGCCTTCAGTCCCTCACTCATTGCTAACAAGTTGATTCTGACTCACAGTGACCCTCCATTGCATTTCTTAGGCTGTAAATGACAATGAACAGAGACTGATCAACTTTCTCCCAGGGAGCTGCTGGCGAGTTTGAACCACTGGGGCTGTGTGGCCTTTTGGTTAGCAGTGCAGCCCGTTGTTGACTTGTACCATCAGAGCTCCCTTCGGAAAGCATAGGTCGTCTCAGGCAACAAGTGGTAAAGAAAGCTTTCTACCTTTCTTCTTGGTAGTGTGGTTCTAATTACTAAATCTAAGACACTGAGCAAGCTACTTTGCATACCAGTGTCTGTTTTCTCGAATGTTAATGATGCAAACTTCAGTTTTTAATTTTATAGTAGCATAAGGGATTTCCCTGCACACAGCTGTCAATATATAATTTGCATATATAACTTGCTTTGCATCTGAAAATTGGACAGATGAAAAATCCATGCCTTTGGGTTATGGTGTTGGAAAACAGCACTGACTATCCCCTGGACTTCCAAAAAGACAAACAAATATGTCTTGGGAAAAGTGCTGTCAGGGTGCTCCTTGGAGGAAAGGATAGTGAAAGTTCATCTCATGGACTTCAGGCATGTTGTTAGGATGGGCCTGTTCTTGGGAAAGGACATCATGCTTAACAAGGTGGAGGGTCAGCAAAGGAGGGGAAGACCATTAATGAGATGGTTTGACCCAGGGACTCTAAGATGTGTTTGAATATGAGGTAATGAGGATGGCACAGAATAGAGCAGTATCCAGATCCATTGTTCTTAAGGTTGACACTTGACAGCATTTAACCACAGCAACAACACTGTTACGAACAAAACATAAGAGAAATTTAAACTTTTGGTATTCCAAGTGTGGGGAGGCCATTTGATTCTAGAAAAAGAAGAAGGGGGGGGAAATATCAAAGAAGCTAGAAACAATGAGGCTAGGTAGAAGAAAAACTTATTACCATAACATCAAAACCTTCTCATAGCTGACCCTGTGGTGGGTTTTTGGAAGGCTCTAAATAGCTACCAATAGATTCGAACCACTGGAGGAGGAATAATATAAAAAAAAAAATCAACCACTGCCTAATTATTGATGACTGAGTCACCATTTTACTGAAGACTGACTGACATCAAGACATAAAATTGTCTGTTTCCATCAGCCATACGTTTTGAAACTCAAATTTAGCCAACCTGATTTGGGATAGAAAAGAGGTTTTGAAAATTCCAGTGAAAGAAAAATCAAGGGACTAAATTTTGGTCAGGAATGTTTATAAGTGAATACTTGGCTTTATGAGTAAGAAAATGCCAAAATCAAGGCACAGTATCTTCTAGCAACTGTAATAGCCTTAATAGACTTATTTCCCTGTATTCCTTCTAGTTGAACATAGTCTGCTAACTACACAGGTGACAGATAACTCTGTCCAAAAGTGTTATCCCCTAAACAAAAAACAAAGGAACAAAAAATTACATGCTGAGAAGCAGAGTCCAGACCCAAGTCTTACCAAGAATCCAAAGTATGTATCATTTGTACCAAATGAGCTCTGGATTTAAAGAACTGTGTAAAAAAAAAAAAAAAAGTGTCATCCCTTAGACTTAAATCCTTTTTTTGCTGAAGTCTCTCCTATAGCTTCCCAACATAGGCTGGAAATCCAAAGCTCCTGCCATGACCTTGAAAGCCCCTACTGCTCTCCCTTGCTCATTATGTCTTTTTCAATATTAGTGGTCTGGCTAAGTCTCACACTCACCAAACACACTTGTTCCTCTGGATATAATTTCTGTTTCCTCTTTCGAAAAGATATTCACATGGTTTTGACCTTTATGTTTCCTTCATTATATTCAACTCCACTCAAAAGTTTACCCCTTAAAGAATTTTCCAAAATAGTATTTAAAAATAATTCCCAGAAGTTATCACTGCCTGCTACTTTGTGTTCTATTTATATATTTTATTATGTTGACTAACTGTTAAACCTCTATGGGTGCTTGTATTTTATTGCTATTTCTCTAGCTCCTACAATAGTGTCTGGTACATAAGTGTTCAATGAGTATCTGCACAATGCAATTGCCAAAAACCACAAGCAGAATGCTGTAATGTTACATGACACTCTGTTCCTAAAAGGTGGCTAACATTTCATTGTTAAGCCTCTGGTCATAGTCTTGATTTTTCTTATTCCTGACAAAGGCACCAATCACTTTTCCTTCTTTGGGCCATGAAAATGTGTATTCAAAGTCAACTATCCCTAACTCTATTTTCCTCTGAGGCTCAATGTCAAGAAGACAAAGATTCTCACCACTGGGCCAATTGGCAACATCAGGATGGATGGTGAAGAGATTGAGATTGTACACAGCTTTAGTTTGCTTGACTCCACAGTCAACACTCTTGGCACCAGTAGCCAGGAAATTAAAAGGCGCATTGCCATGGGAAAGTCTGCTGTTAGGGACGTCTCGAAAGCAAGGGTGTCTCTCTGGAGACTAAGGTGCATCTGATACAGGCCATGGTCTTTGCAATCACTTGTTATGCATCAGAGAGTTGGACAATAACCAAGGAGGACAAAAGGAGAATTGATGCCTTTGAGCTGTGGTGCCAGAGAAGATTATTGAGAGTAACATGAACTGCTAGGAAAACAGATTCATCCTGTAAAAGGTTAAACCGGGCGGCTCCTTGGGGGCAAGGATTCTGAGGCTCTAACATACTTTGGACATGTTGTAAGGAGAGACCGGTCCTTGGAGAAGGACATCATGCTTGGGAGGGTTGAGGGACAGCGCAGCAGAGGAAGGCCCTCTATGAGGTAGACTGATTCAGTGACTGGGGTTATCTGGATGGGAGTTTCAGAGACAGTGCGATTGGCACAGGACAGAGCAGAGTTCAGGGCTGTTGTACATAGGGTCACTATGAGTCGCAAGCGACTCAACGGCACATAACAACAACATCACCTCATCCTCGCCCATTCTTGCAAAATATTAACAAAAATAAATTCTACTTTTCCTAACTACCACCCTGCTAAAAGGAATCCTCCTGGCCTCGCGGGTTATGTGCTGGGTTGCTAACCTGGAAGGTTGGTAATGGAATCCACTCACGTTCTGCTGGGGAAGGATGAGGTACCTTGTCTCCTCTAAGTTTTAACCTCAAAAATCCCATGGAGTCTCAAGGATTGGAGAACAATGGGTCTGGGTTTGTGCTGCAAGCCAGGGTGTCCTGATTCTTTTCCGTCTTTGTCTAAAATGTCTCCTAGAACTAAATCTATGTTACTTACGGAGCATTTCTCAACTTTCTCCTTCGATTCCGTTCTGACCTGTCGCCGAGGCCTCCTGATTGATAAGGGAGTCCTCTGGGCCCCTACAAATAGAAACTACCTTCAGTTTTCTGCCAAACCAGCCCTGACCCCACTGCCTCGGCACACTGAATGGATTTCACGCTTCCCGGAAACCTAAGGGGCCTCCACGTTTTTTCTAACTCGGTTCTCCGTCAGAAACACACTTTTACGGCTCTGGTACTTTACCCCTGATCCGTCGTCCTCAATGAATTAGGCACCGTTCTCTGGGATTAACCTACTTTAATCGAATCATATTCCTTTCTAAAACCTCTGTTTTCCTCTGAATATATCAAAATAGACACTGAGTAAGACAAAGTGTGATGAGAAGGGAGGAAAAAAAAAGTCGCAATAAGGGGTACTTTGCGCTGACTTCCGACGACCCTCCGAGGCCTCTGGGAAGTGTAGTTTCAACGAGGTGGAGGCGTGG